TAGGGATAGGAATGATGACAGCCTCTTTCCATTTTCTTGGTAACTTTCCCTCTCTATAACTCATATTAAACAAATCAAGTAAGGGATTAGGTTTCATACCGGCTAAATAATTAAGTATGTCATACGTTACTCCATCTTTTCCCGGAGCAGTGGAGCTGCCACTTTTTATAGCATCCAGTAGCTCATCGTGGGTTATCTCAGTGCATGCTATAGATCTTGTATTTAAGGCACATAAAGTTACTCCATTTCTAATATTTTCCCATGACTCAATGGTGACTCTCGTGTCTGCAGGTAAGGACTCCATACCAGCAGCACTTGCCCATTTATCTACTAACTCATTAGCAACTTTCCCTGGATCTGAGTGAGCAATGAATTTAGTCTTACAACCCCTGACTTTATTTACTGCTCTCCATATGTCTTTAAGGTTCTTAGTATTACCAATGGCCTGAGCAAAGTCTTGCCAGTATCTGTCCCGCGCCTCCTTCCTCACCTGACTGCATTCCCTAGCCACTTCCAACATTGTATTTTTCTCTTCATCCCTCATTCCATTTTTTAACCATGCTTTATGCGCACCCCGTAGCATTCTCTCCCATCCCTTGACTTGCTGATCATTGGAATATTTAAATTTCTTAGGTCCGTGCGTCTTGCTTCCCCTGCCCCCGTTATTTTCCCTCTGTACTAATTTCTCTATGTTCTCGACCATGTCCTCGTAAAAACTATCAACGCAGAGCGGCGTGTAATGTTGATACCAATCTCCCATATTTTGAATAAAATAATTTTTCATATCTTTCTTAATATTTAGCCTTTTCCTTTGAAAGTGGACTTGTTTTTTCCCCAGTGGTAATTCAACGTTCAAGGCAAAGTGGTCACTAAGTAGTTCCCGAACAACCCGAGCCTCCCCCATAATCCCCTGAGAGTTTAAAACGCAGGCATAGTCAAGCCGTCCTCCCCTGATGTGAGTTGGTTCATTGTTTCCCAATAGACAGGTATCTGGATGATCTTGTAGAAACTGTAACCACTTGACCCCATTAGTATTAATACTACCCACTGTCCCAAGGCTTGTGTGCCGAGCATTAAGGTCCCCAATGACCAGTGAAGGATTAGTATAAATGCAGTCAGGTAAATAGTTGGCGTCGAAGCAGTTCCTGGATACATACAAATTAACTACAATAAATTCCCCTTCCCTTAATGATAATTTAACACAAACACTCTCTATACCTTGCGTTTTTGATGGCGGTTCTACTAACTCTGCTGGTATGGAGTTCTTAACATAAATTGACGTGCCTCTGATGTTATTTGCAGCGAAGAGGTGAAACCCTTTATAGCCATTTAATTTCAATAATCCTTCATTCCTATCCCCTGTCTCCTGGAGAGCTACAACATCAATATCATTTCCCATCACATAACAATGAACATCTGTAACCCTGTTTCTCAAACCATTAACATTCCATGACAACACTTTCAGTCTAGGGTGATCCATTATTAATCAATTCATTGCCTAAGTCATCCCCAATAAGTTCACTAAATGATAGCCATACCTTGTATAACATCTCCCACCTCCTCCCAAGTTCACCAGTAAAAGCGACATTGCGATTCTCAAGAGATTTTTTCAGCCCTGAGATGTCCATTATTGGCCCAAATGATTCCTTCATTTTATGTGTAATTATAGGGTTCTTCCTTTCACTACGACTACCATCATTCACACACACTTCACTTTCCTTCATTTCATCACTCAATATTTCATTTTTGTCCTCAACCACTATATCCTGACTATCCTTCACCGTTTTGTGATTTTCCTTGACCTCCTGAACGTTTAATTTAGCCTCGATGGACTCGATTCTCTGCCCCAGATTTTGGAGGAACTCACCAACTTTTTTAAGTTCAGCCCACACTTCCTTGACCATATTATTATGACCCTCTCTCTGAGCCACAGTAGCCACTTCACTCACCGTTACACTGTCACTGCCGGAGTCCTGAGTGGTGGCGTGGCTGCTTGTTGCTGGAGCCTGCCTAAGTAAAGGTGACTCCTTTACCCACGCATTCGTCCGGTTCACTGGCACTGTTTGGGGCAGACTGTTTTGCTGTGCTCCCGGTGTCTGGGTAAGAGCTCTTGCTTGCTCTGTAACATTCACCGGCCGGAGAACAGCCATACTCGGCCTCTTGCTACACACAGCCGAGCTCGCATTGTGAACACCTCCACAGTTGCAGCATCTGGGAACTATTTTCTCACCCAGATTCAGTCTGTTTCTACACACAGTAGAGAGGTGAGACTTTCCACAGAAACGACATCGTGGATCATTTTGACATCTCCAGGATTTATGCCCCCATCTGCAGCATTTCAGGCATATTATGGGCTCTTCCACATACTTTGCTACATGCCTGTAGCCAGCCCCGGTGATGAACACTTTTTCGGGTACGTCACCTCTCACTAGAGCCACCACCTGACTCCTAGCTTCACCTTTAATAAGGTGACGCTTGGCCCACACAAATCGTTGGTCGTCGAGTATAAACTCGGGGTCCAGAATCTGAGGGTATTTATAGATAATTACCTTCGTCAGCTTCTCGTTCCCCTCCGGTATTTCCATAAGAATTCCATCGTATCCTTGCTGGGTAAGATACTCCACTGCCTCCATAGAACCTACCGTTAAGTAAGGTCTGTTTACACCTTCCTTCAGCAGGGGCTCGAACTTGCGGTGTTCTCTTCCGAGTTTGACGGTCCACAGCAGCTTCTGATGATAGGCCAGCGTGCATGAGGCAGGGAAGAGAAGCCTCCATCTCCGCTGATCCTCACCTTCCTGACATCGTTCCGTCCGTTTGTCTGCATCAGTCTCGGCGTCGTTCTTCATTCTTTTATCGTTTCCGTTAAGTGTATTACTGTCCACACTACGCCTTGCCTCCTGTCTTCTTCGTTTCTTCTTATTCCTTGTCAGAACTTCTAGATACTCACCCTCCTCGTCTGACTGGCTGCTTTCAGGGTCCATGTTAATAACGCCGTGAGAAGTAGCCATGTCTTCTGGTGACTGAGTCTCCATCGTCGTGGCAAGGGTATTGTGCAGCTATATGCTCAGGTTTCTCCTTCTGTCAGTTTTGGTTGCTGACAATTTTCATAGCCGTGTGCTCTTAGCTTCCATCATGTGGTTCTTGAACCTCTTGGAGATGCATCAGAACTGACTTTCGAAGGATGTGGAAGTGTTTAGTGGGGTGCTTTTTTTTTTTTTTTTTTTTTTTTTTTTTTTTTTTTTTTTTTTTTTGCCTTGGCGGCTTCAGCATAGCTGGCTGACTTAAGATATATGCTGTTATCCTCTGGGAGGTGGTTTCCCTGTTCTTTTACCTCCCATCTCGTTCAAAACAGGCTTTGCTGGCCCATTCTTTGGACTCGGCATGGGCCCTGGCTCTTAATTCAGCTTCTCCCTTTTGTTTGCAGTTGTTCCCTGAGGACATTGTTTCCCCATCTTCTGTCGGCCGCCGGGGTGAGTTGCCGTACTGTTTCTGATTAGTTGGGCGTATAGGTAGGGAGAGGGTCAATCTCAGCCTTCCCAGCACAGTAGGGCCAGGGCTTTGCCTGCTTTTGGTCATGGTGGGTCCTATGTGGTGCCAACAGCTGGGCCAGGTATTTTTTCCCAGCCTTATCTTCTTCGTCCGTTCGCTCTGTTCAAAAGACTGTTCTCGGGGTGTGCATAGGCCCTTTGATGGATCGCCTCTTTGACTGGGCGGTGGGGGGATGCTGGGTCTTTTTGCTCAGGCTTTGTTCCGAAACGTGGGCAAACCATTACGTACAACTTACCTGTGTATAGCGTCACAAAATGAGGAACCTATGCTGATCTTGGCAAACTATCTGTTCTCTGGGATCTAAATAGCCAGGCATGTTTCATGTGCTCTTTGTTATATAATAAACTAAACTATGATTAACAAATATTTACTAGACTTTAATTGAATTTTTTATACCAAATTGTTTGTAAGTGATTGCTCTCTAATGCCATAGTAAAATTGAAGAATTCATAATAAATGAATTTGTTGTGAATAGTTATATTGATTGATACAGTTGGCTTGTGCAAATCTTGGCTATTACGTCATATTTGTGGCCACCAGTAATAATCACATACAGTAGTTATGATTTATGGAATTGTTCACCAATGATTGTTCTATCATGTGCCATGTTCAAAATTATAATTACATAACAAATGGATTTTGTGATTTTTTTGTTAGTGGTAGGGCGTGTTTTTCTATACATGGAGGGGAGGGATAGACTGGGGCTGATGGGTAGAACAAATTCTGCAATGAAACGAATTGGCCTCGCCCCATATAGTTCTTTCAAGCAAGATTACACTGCAAGGGCAATGACCTGGGAGGCCGGAGCAGGCCTGGTACTAGCCCCGTGCTGGACATGCTCCCTGTATCCTCCTTATCCATATCTGTATCACTCGTGTCTGATACTTGTGTAAGGTCTTTATCGGGCTTGATTACTCAACATCACTACCATGATTGTCTTGAAACAATAAATTTGAATTTCAGCTTCAAACAGCGATTTTTCAACACCAGAGACTGGGGTGTGGAAATGAGTACATCAGCCATGATTGCTCACTCAAAACTGAGCTTACCCTCAGCCCTGAGACAAGCTGGGAATTTTTTCAAGATGGCCAATGCTTACTGGAGGTGTCAGGCCTCCCATCTGTTACCTAATCCACTGCGAGGGCATTTTAAATCTTACGATATCCTAATGTTGAGCATGTGTCGCGTGGCGCTCCATCACGCCCCCGCAATATGTCGGGTGGCGCATCTCTCTGACTAAGGCATTATGCTCAGTTCAGGGGTTAAATATAAATTATTTAATGTCATTACCAGTTTGATTTTTATCACAATTCTCAAATTAAAACATTATTCTATATCTGATTTTCACAATAGCTATACTGTATATCCATAATTCTTGGTATTTTTTCTTACCTTTGCTTTGTCAACTGAATATTTATATTTACAAACCATCTTTTTAACTTTGTGGACAGAAGACAGTGCAACTCAATGTCCATGTGATGACTGTGCTGGAAATAGAGGCAAACTTGGCGATTTGCTGCCCTCTTCAACAAGTGCAAGAATTCCTCTTTCATCCACGGCAGACATTCGTCCACCCTCAAGCTGTGAATGCCACTTCTGTAATGCATCTATGGCAGCAGCTGTAAGTTAAAAGTAATTTACATTCAGCAAATTAGTATTTAAGATTCTTTACGTAGAAATAATCCCAGGTTTGGATAACTTCTCCAGATCCTCTAGTAAATGGCCAGTAACAAGTGAAAATGGTATCAAAGGAGTTAAAGAATTTTAGTTTTGCTAATAATTAATTTTTTAACACTATTTCTTGATGGTCAACAGTGTTAGAAAGTGTTGGCATCCCGACTCTAGCCCTTAGCTGACTCAGAAGTTTTTAGGCGTCCTACAATTTAATGTAGTTTTTTACATTTTTACTAATTGTGTTGTGAACGAAAATTCTCTTTGACTATGGCAGCAAAAACAATAGTCACAGGAAAGCTGTCGTAGCATCTTTGAATTTAATAACTTAAAAATATTCAGGAATTTGCAAATGATTTATATACTGGCCCTTACTAAGCAGCAGCATTTTGTACCTAGTCGTAGATGTTAACTTTATTTCAGGTTTCTTGTACATTTTGGATCTATATATCATTTCATAAGGAAAAATAATTGTGGATATTTTTTACATTTATTGCACATGGGTGGACTGGCATGTATTTTGACAGGTTCACGTTAAGGGGGTCAATTTCAAGTAATGCTTACAACCTTTTCATGTGCCTTAACTATTAACTGTCTCAATGAGAATATCTGATCCACAAAACCTATTTTATTACACTACCCTTTGTCCATTACACATAACATAAATTTTTTAGATTTTCTGTAGTTTGTCACTGCTCCTTTCCTAGTAATTTGACATATTACTATCAACACTTTGTCTGCAGCCCATACAATATCTGCATAAAATATGTCTCGTGTCCCAACAAAAAGAAAACTTGAGCAGAGAAATCAGAGCTAAAACTAAAACACTTATTTCAGAAAGGAGAAATACAGAAAGCCATTAAGAAAAGAAATACATGCCTTATTTAACCCTTAGACTGCACAATACATACATATATGATTTGACAAAATAATTGAACATAAGTTTTTAAAACTTGCACAAACACCTTCCAATATTTTTTGCATAATCAACTAGGCAAATACTCCAACTTTGTCTAAATGATCACATCATAACTTGAAAAACAAGAGAATCAAAATTAATTTTAAAATTGAATATTGAAAACTTCAGTTTTTCAATTCAGAATAAAAAATATCGCCAATTGTTCATTTAATGTTATTATTCTTTCAGAATAGCATATGATCTTCATTTTTATCGAATTAGAATATAGATTTTCAGTACAGTTTACTGTAAAAAAAAATTGTCAATAAGGCATTTGAAATATACAGCAAATTTAGACAAAAAAAAACAAACTCCAAATGTAAAAAGTTTATGAAAAATCCATTCTGAAGGGATTGTAGAGCAGACAGCTGAGCACACAATAAGTATGTCAAAACAGTGAGAATCGGTCAAAAACTGAAATTTTAGAAGCCACTCAAAGTTGAAACTCTAGTTTCAGAGATAATTGAAGTTGAAGTTATCAACAATGAATAAAGGTAGTTTTAATTCGTTAATTTAATTGTATGTTTTAATAAACATTATTTGGCATTCGTACTCGAATATGTGAAAGTTGTAGGTCAATATGTGTTGAAATGAAGTCAAGAAAAAATAACCCCCAAAAAACACAAAATATAGGAATAATTATAATAATTATATGATTTAGGGGATATATTTAGAGTATACTTTATATAAGTGAAAACTCCTAATATGGTCCATAATCATCAAAGCAACTTAACCCTTAAAGTGCGCATCACGTCATATGACGTGCTGGACGTTGTTCCAGTCAACTGCGCATCACGTCATATGATGTGTTGGAGTACTACGCAAGATTTAAACAGCCCGCGGATACACGGGGTTCACCACACCTTCATCAGGGCTCTTGTAAACAGACACCATTTTAAAAAAAAATCGTGGGCCAAACTCCCGGGTGTTATTGGCCTCAGTATTGAGTGAGCAACCAAGCCTGACGCACGCAGCATGAGCTCACAGCACTGCTGTTCAGCTTGTGACCACAGCATCGCCTAAAAATGCCATAATATACTTGTTCATGCTATTATGTAGCGATGATATTATTACAGAAGACCCCTGACTGTGATAAAACTGACCAAGGTTCTGATAATAGCAGGATTGTGGTGATATTTAGCGCTGTGCGCCATGGAAGGAGGAGTAATGCTGTGGGAGGGAGGGTGGTGGCAATGTCTTTTGACTGTGTGTGGCCACCTTTTATTGACTGCATTCAGCATACCAGCTTAGTGGTTCGCTATGGTGAACACAAATGTAGATACTTATATATAACGTGTGTATAGAGGGTATAAACAGCAAGAGAAGGTTTGGAGCCGCCATTTTGGTGAGGGCGGTGGCGTCGTGCAGACGATGGTGTTGTTTACTGGTTACCACCATGGTCTTTGGGCACCATACCAGTTTATTTGTACAAGTATGGTGAATAAAACAGGTAGATATTTATATATAATGTGTGTATATAGCGTAATAACACCACACAGTATTGTTGGAGGAGAAATATTAATGCGTCTGGCCTTGAGGGCGGCCGCCGATCAGCTGACTGTGTCAGTAGCCACATCTTTGTGCCTTTACTCACCATACAAGCTTAGATGTACAGTTATGGTGAACAAAACATGTAGATACTTATATATATCGTCTTTATATAGTGAATTATAGCAAAAACATTATTGTGGGAGGAGAATGTGGGTGAGTCAGGTGACTGGAGGGAGGGCGGGAGTGGCTGGCTGGTAAACAGCGGTCACTCCTCATTACTTTTTGATTCATAATAGCTACTTAGTGGTTCGTTATAGTGAACAAAACATGCAGATACCTATATATAACCTGTGCTTATAATGTAATAACCGACAAAGTATTTGTTCACTGATTGATGAACATAATTGAATCAACAATATGCACACCATATTTTTGAGTACAGCAATGATTCACTCATTTTATTATATAAATATATCAAACTACACACTATTGAATAATATTACAGCAAAAAAAGTATGAAAAATCAATCAGAGACATTGAAATAATTCGGTAATTATCTCTTTGTGGCAACTCCGGCCTGACAGCTTGCGAGCAACAGACCGCCTGGGACGCACGCTGAGTCAGCGCCTATAATTTGCCACACTTCCCCGCCCTATAGCGGGCAATATATGCCATTTACGATTTTTTAATTATTTTTCCTGTGATCAGTGAACACAAATTAACAGGTTAGAAAGAAAAAATAATTTTTTTTTTCAAAATGACATGCGCCTGTGGGGATGACAGGATATTAAACCCCGAGCATGTTAAGGGTTAAAGAGACAAAGAAAATAGTTTGAAATTGGATAAAAAATCGACCCCCAAAATTAAAAGTCCCAAGTTTTGCTAGTTGTGACTCATTTATGTGTTGACCAATTTCATTGTATCATCACATAGGTAGGGGAAACATGCATTCTCCAGGATGTAAAGATTACAACAAAATCAGATAAACAACGGAGAAAAAACTAAAATCTTAAAAAAAAAATTTCCCTAAAAAAAATATTTTTTGGACATTGAAGAAGGTAACATATATTAACATTGAACAAAGTATTTATATAATATATATCAAAATAGATCATATTAACTTATTCATTATTATTTGTGTTATTATGTATTACTCAGCAATGATATAAAGGCAACAACTGCATATCCACTTTGTGGACACTTCTTACTACTATTCTTCTTCTTTGAGCGTCAGACAGGTGTTTGCATCTCTTTATTACTGAATAATCCTTCAGTTCCAGTTATTAGGAGCTGTTCTCCTTATCAACAAAACGTTCTTATTTTAAAAAATAATCGCCTAAAATCAATTTCTGAATATATTTTGATGAAAGTTTCATGACACTGAAGTCAATAAGTAGGAGATTTGTTTAACATTTTTAAGTTATTCTTACATAATTTGAATATTTTTCGCTACCAGGCCCCCAGTATGCGGGGCAATATGCGCGGTCTAAGGTTTAAGGGTGTGCATGTAAATAAAATATAAAACTTTATTCATAAATGGCAGTACATTTATAATTTTGAGAGTTTACATAAAAACTACAGTACAGTAATTAGATAAGTGTGACAGCAGCAGCACAATACGTAACAATGTCATTATCAGAACCAGAAACTTAATCGGTAACAATTTACACGCACATCATTTCAATACTGATGGGACTAAACAGGTCTCAAACAATCCAAATCAAAATTACTTTCTAGCCATTAAAAGAGTGACATTTAAACAATTTGAATGATGTATTGTAAAGACAGTGATGATTAACCCTTAGATAGGAGTTATCGTCGTGTGTTGATTCACGGGGTAATGCGGTTATTGTCATATGATTATGTAAACAATTATTGTCTGGGTTTTACATGTATGATGCATTTAAGGATATAATAACTCTGTGGATGTATTGGAGTTAACCTTGACCCATGAAAACGTCCTGCTGTCGTTTTATGATTGTTACTGTGTAAATATGGCAATCGTCATGAAGGTTACTTGGCGAATGCGGTCGTCGTCATCATTGTATAAACTTTTGTCATAACTACATATGCATACCAATAATGTTCATATAGATTTCACTATTCTGTATTGTTGTAATGAGGTATACCAGGTAAACCAATTATTATTTGAGCCATTATCATGTGCTACATATACTAGGAGCCTGTCGTCATCTGTGGGTAGCACATTGATGGCTTACCTCTCTGTTTCAATCCATATTCTCCCATATGGTGCCAATTAGGCCATATGTTGTCGCCCAGAACTTACACTCGGTATATATTATTTTTACTGTATATGCTTTTCATTATGCTATATGGCTGTAATAGTGTGTACCAGGTAAACCAATTATCAATGGAAATATTATCATTTGTTATTTGAATTATGTGATATATCAAGCTGTTCAACTCGTATACTCTTGTAAATAAAGAGAAACAGGTGATAAACAATCGGTGAAACATTTGAGAACACAATGAAGTACAAA